TTTCTTAGCTTATCAATTAAATTCTTTTTTTTTTAATTACTTCTTCCTCCTGTAGTGTTTTCTTGCCCCTCACGGAGCTGGGATCACAAGGTCCGGCTGTCTCGTTGTCCTGTTGTTGTTGTAGAGATGGGGTCTCTGGCTCATCTGGCTGAGGGGGGTCTACAGCTGGTCTCGAACCTCTAAGCACAGGTGATCCACCCACCTCAGCCTCCCACAGTGCTGGCCAAGAGATCCTCTTGCCTCAGCCTCCTGAGTAGCTGGGACTATAGGCACCCACCACAACATCCAGCTAGTTTTTAGAGATAGGGGTCTCGCTCTTGCTCAGGATGGTCTCAAACTTGAGAGCACAAGCAAGCCACTTGTCTCAACCCCTCAGAGTGCTAGGATTACAAGCATGAGCCACCTCACCTAGCCTGACTTATTCAATTTCTATGTCCTAGGCAATTACTGAGAACTGCTCCTCCATGAAGTGTTCCAAATCTTGAGGAAAATTATCCCTTCTCCCTTTTAATTAAATATTGTCAGACTGCCAGCATTACGTATCACTGTTTTTCAGCCATGCTCCATACTATGGAGAACAGAAAATAACCATCTTGGGTGGTGCCTGTGGCTTAGAGAGCAGTGCGCTGGTCCCATATACCAAGGGTGGCAGGTTCAAACCCAGCCCTGGCCAAACTGCAACAAAAAAATAGCTGGGCATTATGGCAGGCACCTGTAGTCCCAGCTACTTGGGTGGCTGAGTCCAGAGAATCATCTAAGCCCAAGAACTGGAGGTTGCTGTGAGCTGTGACGCCACGGCACTTTGCCAAGGGCGACAAAGTGAAACTGTCTCTAAAAAAAAAAAAAAGAAAAGAACCATCTTGTTCTAAGGGACATTTGGGGAAAGCAGGCAAAAATCCTGCAGGAAGGCAAGAAGAATGAGAATCAAGGACACACTCTCTATCTCCCCTCTGCCCTAACATTACCTATGTTATCACATGCCTACATCCCTAATTCTTCCTCTTAATTAACATCTGCTTTGTATTTATTATTTTACTACACACTTTTAATTATAACCATTAATATACAGCATATCAACATGAAAACCAAGGCTGAGGAGCCCTATTTTCACAAACCAGTGTTCAGGTCAGATACATTTTACATAAAGACCAAGTATCAAGAAGTATGTTTCATTACTTACTAAAATGAGACAGGAATCTGTGGTGACACATCATTAAATCTGCTGTATCAGTGCCATTTAATACTAAAAATATTTCTATAAGCTTGTGTCTTTTTTTAAATCCTAGAGCAAAAACTACAAAAGGATATCATGCAAGTTAACAGTATTCCCAAGAACAGAGTAGTCTTTAAAAAGACTCTCTGTAGTCATTAAAAACTCCGGCACAGGTTGTCAAATATATTTATTCCTTAACTCAAACCGAAAGTTTACCTGTTCCCAAAGAGGATAACTTGTCCTCCATTGTTTTCATAGTAGAATTTAATTCGGCTTCCATTTCTTTTTCAAATTCATCTTCACTAGATGATTCACTTTCTCCAGTAAGACATTCTCTGATGAGTTTTCGTTTTTGGTCAGGAGTTCCATGTAAAAGCACTTCCACTTCATCTTCAGAGCTAGTACATGTTTAAATCAAAAAGAATAAGAATATTAGGGTGGCGCCTGTGGCTCAAAGGAGTAAGGCACTGGTCCCATATACCAGAGGTGGGGGCTTCAAACCCAGCCCCGACCAAAAACTGCAAAAAAAAAAAAA